GAAAGAAGGAAGGAAGGAAGGGAAAAATTCATTTATTTGAAAGGCAGAAAGAAAGAAAGGAAGAAAGGAAGGAAGGAAGAAAGAAAGAAAGGAGGGAAGGAAGGAAGAAAGGAAGAAAGGAAGAAAGAAAGAAAGGAGGGAAGGAAGAAAGGAAGGAAGAAAGGAAGGAAGGAAAGAAGGAAGGAAGAAAGGAAGGAAGGAAGGAAGGAAGAAAGAAAGGAAGGAAGGAAGAAAGGAAGGAAGGAAGGAAGGAAGGAAGGAAGGAAGGAAGGAAGGAAGGAAGGAAGAATTCTCTAAAAACAACTAGAAATGAGTTGTGATGGGAGCAGAGCTCAAGGTGGGGGTGAGGAAGATTGTCATTTTTAGCCTTTGTTTATACTCCTGTGGAACTGTGGTCTTCTCACTTTTTACTTGTTGTATATTGTGGTTAGTAGTGAATTACTCCTGTGGTTAGAGTGGATAAAATTATAAAAAAAGGAAACTAATACCTTTAAATAAAATTAACAAGTTATATCCTTAGGTTACCATTCTTGTCTCTCCTGATATTTTCCTCTATTTGTTTATTAAATGGATATTTTCAGAGGGAAAGAATTTTGGCCAGTTACATTCCCTTTGCCCCATTGTTCCCAAATATCCTACAATAGTATAATGAATAGTCTGCTATAAAGCTAAAGTAAAGCCTGTTGAACAAAACTGGATTTAGATAACCTGAAATGGATAATTCATTAATATTCTTATGTTTTGGAGACCCTTAAGTTTGTTTTAGAGCAGCTAGAGCCACTCAGATAGCTCCTTTTGAGAGTGGATAAGGAACTTCCAAAAGAAAACTTTAACTTATTTGTAACTTCATCATTTATTGTTATTAGGTATGAAGGTATGACATCTGTATGATTTATTTTAGGTGAAAAAGCTTACGATCCTGAATATTTTCATAACAGAGTCCAAAGAATCATGATTGATGATCATAACGTCCCTACTCTCAGGTAAGTTTTATGCCACACTGGCTGTCAGAAGAGGGTTAAACGCATTGGGCTTTATTCTATGGGGAATATTTTAATTCAGCTAAAAGTCTTACTTTTAAAATCAGTGAGATGGTGGTGTTTGCCAAAGAAGTAAATATGTGGCTGGCTCAAGACAAGGAAAATGTCGTAGTGATTCACTGCAAAGGCGGCAAAGGTAATAGCACTTTTTCTTTTTTTCTAAATAAACTCAAAAGGTATATAAAAGTATAAAACAGATTCATCTTACTATCAAACAATATGAGTAAGTTTTAAAATTTAGAATTTTTTAAAGTTTTATTTATTTGAGAGGCAGAGTTACAGATAGAGGGAGAGACAGAAAGAGAGGTCTTCTATCCACTGGTTCACTCTCCATTTAGTTGAAATGGCCAGAGCTGGGCAGTTCGAAAGCCAGGAGGCAGGGCTTCTTCTGGATTTCCCACATGGATGCAAGGGCCCAGGCTCATTATCAGAGAGCTAGATCAAAGTAGAGCAGCTGGGACCCGAACCCGTATGACATGTCAACACCAGCACGCAGTGGCTTTACCGGCTGCACCACAGCACCAGCCCCTTATATATTGGAAGTTTAAAAAATGAAATGGAGGAACTTAAAGATGGTGGCATAGCCACAGGGTGATCCAAGTCACCTGGGGTAAAAAGAGATAGTTAAACAAGGAGAGAAGATACATGCGGACATAGAGCTACAGGAAATTCAAGACACAAAGCCCAGGAGACCAACATGGATTGGGCAGGTCCATGCTGAAAGACCAAATAAGAAAGGGAAACAGCGATGGTATAGAGGAAGTGTGGTTCCGGGCAGCTGGCCTCAGCCCTCAGTGGTCCAGGTTAGTTGGGAAATTGGGAGCCCACAGAGCAGCGAATAGTAGTGGGAGGGGGATATTGGTAAACTGCTTTTCAAGTTCCTCGTGGGGGAAGGGGTGGGAGGTGTACAGAAAAGCAGAGAGGTCGGGCACTCCGTGGACCATCTCCCTTGGCCACTCCACCCCCCCCCCCCCCGGACCTGTAGCTGGTTGAGAGAAGACATTTTGAATGTATACATATCCAAATGTAAGCCTTAGCCTCCGGAGCACACACCCATCAATAGCGGGGGCCACCCCACTACATCCCCCACCCAGGAATGAGGTCCACAATATTTCAGAAGAATTTTTTCTCCACCACGCAAGCCGAACAGTAAGTAAAAGCCCTGAATATCGAAAACTAGAGCCCGTTCCATCAACTATTGAGAAGTGAGCCTGACCCCCCTGTAGGCGGGGCTAAGTAAACTGGAGCTCCTACAGTTTCCATCATGATTGACAAGTAAACAGGGTTCCAGTAGATGGCGCTCTGTGCTTCCACGTGAAACACACGCAGCAGCTCATAACCGACAAAAGCCTCACAAGAGAATTCCCCCCCAAAAAGAAATTATATATATATATATATTATATATGTATATATATATACACACACACATACAAATCCCAAAAAGCAAGGACAAATCCTAAATAGGAATAAGGAATAAACTGTGAGCATCCCAAAGGAGCACTACAACTCCTCAATAACAGAAGGTAAAGATGAAGAGATCGAGCATATGGCAGAGATAGAATTCTGAAAATTGTCAGATTACTTAGAAGATATCAGAAG